TGAAGATGCCAACATCGTTGGCGGAAAGTACTTTAAGCAATTTGTGTTTTGTTTTGGTGTTGGGGAATATTTCTAATATTTGTTTAGGTCAAATTTTGTTAAAGTTGGAGAGGAAACTTATTCTTTGTTTAAAGATTAAGTAGTTCCTTTACATCGTTTTTGTAGGTAACGTAGGTCAAAACTTTTTTAGATTCTTGTTGTCATGTCAAATCTTGTTTAAAGTTGGAGATGGAACTAATTCTTTATTTAAAGATTAGTTCTTTTACTTCGTTTATGATAGGGGTCGTAAGTCAAATTGTTATTAGATTCTTTACTTTGGAGATGGAACTGATTGAAATTCAATCAGTCTGATTTTCTTCGGGGTCGTAAATCAAAACTTTTTTAGATTCTTTCTGTTAGGGCAAATCTTGTTTAAGTTGGATATGGAACTAATTCTTTATTTAAAGATAAGTTCTTTTGGTTTGTTTTTGTTAGGGGTCGTAAGTCAAATTGTCATTAGTCTTTTTAAGTTGGATATGAAACGTATTCTTTTTTAAAGATCAGTTCTTTTTTTTGTTAGGGGTCGTAAGTCAAAACTTTTTTATATTCTTTTTATAGGGCAAATCTTGTTTAAGTTGGAGATGGAACTAATTCTTTATTTAAAGATAAGTTCTTTTGGTTTGTTTTTGTTAGGGGTCGTAAATCAAAACTTTTTTAGATTTTTTTGTTAGGGCAAATCTTGTTTAAGTTGAATATGGAACTAATTCTTTATTTAAAGATCAGTTCTTTTTTTTTAGGGGTCGTAAATCAAAACTTTTTTAGATTCTTTTTGTTAAGGCAAATCTTGTTTGAGTTGAATATGGAACTAATTCTTTATTTAAAGTTAAGTTCTTTTAGTTCGTTTTTATAGGGGTCGTAAATCAAAATTTTTTTAGATTCTTTTTGTCAGCACAAATCTTGTTTAAGTTGGAGATGGAAGTAGGTAATTCTTTATTTAAAGATTCGTTATTTTAGTTTGTTTTTGTTACGGTCGTAAGTCAAATTGTCATTAGTTCTTTTTAAGTTAAATATGGAACATATTCTTTTTTAAAGATCAGTTCTTTTTCTTTCTTAGAGGTCGTAAATCTAAAATATTCTTTTTGTCAGCGCAAATCTTATTTAAGTTGGAGATGGAACTAATTATTATCGTAAATCAAAACTTTTTTAGATTCTTTTTGTCTTGTTAAAGTTGGATATGGAACTAATTCTTTATTTAAAGTTAAGTTCTTTTAGTTCGTTTTTGTTAGGGTCGTAAGTCAAATTGTCATTAGTTTTTTTTAAGTTAAAAATGGAACATATTTTTTTTAAAGATCAGTTCTTTTTTTTCGTAAATCAAAATTTTTTTAAATTCTTTTGTCTGCGCAAATCTTGTTTAAGTTGGAGATGGAACTAATTCTTTATTTAAAGATAAGTTCTTTTAGTTTGTTTTTGTTAGGGGCCGTAAGACAAATTGTCATTAGTTTTTTTAAGTTGGATATGGAACTTATTCTTTTTTAAAGATCAGTTCTTTTTTTATTAGGGGTCGTAAATCAAAACTTCTTTAGATTCTTTTTGTTAGGGCAAATCTTGTTTAAGTTGGATATGGAACTAATTCTTTATTTAAAGTTAAGTTCTTTTAGTTTGTTTTTGTTAGGGGTCGTAAGTCAAATTGTCATAAGTTTTTTTTAAGTTGGATATGAAACTATTTCTTTTTTAAAGATCAGTTCTTTTTTTTTCTTAGGGGTCGTAAATCAAAATTTTTTTAGATTCTTTTTGTCAGCGCAAATCTTGTTTAAGTTGGAGATGAAACTAATTTTTTATTTAAAGTTAAGTTCTTTTAGTTCGTTTTTGTTAGGGGTCGTAAGTCAAATTGTCATTAATTTTTTTTAAGTTGGATATGGAACTCATTCTTTTTTAAAGATCAGTTCTTTTTTTTAGGGGTCGTAAATCAAAATTTTTTTAGATTCTTTTTGTCAGCGCAAATCTTGTTTAAGTTGGAGATGGAACTAATTCTTTATTTAAAGTTAAGTTCTTTTAGTTCGTTTTTGTTAGGGGTTGTAAGTCAAATTTCCATTAGTTTTTTTTTGAGTTGGATATGAAACCTATTCTTTTTTTAAAGATTAGTTGTTATACTTTGTTTTTGTAGGGATTGCAGATCAAAATTTTGTTTAGATTCTTTTCGTTAGGGCAAATATGGAACTAATTCTTTAGTTAAAGATCAGTTCTTTTAGTTCATTTTTGTTAGGGGTCGTAAGTCAAATTGTTATTAGATTCTTTAAGTTGGATATGGAACTTTTTTTTTTAAATATCAGTTCTTTTACTTCGTTTTTGTAGGGATCATAGGTCAAAATTTTGTTTAAATCCTTTTCGTCAGGTCAAATTTCAAGTTGGAGATGAAACTAATTTTTTATTTGTTCGCTTTTGGGTAGGTGAACATATTTTTTAAATTCTTTTTGTCGTTGTAGTCTGTTTTAGATAGTGACTATCCTATGGAACCAGGCGCCCAGGAGTTTCCTATAAAACCCTCCTTTTTATTCCTTCCATTTAGACCCATTTTAGTTCAATTTCACAATCTTCAGATTGTTTAATTAAACTAAAATGGTAGATGGATCTTGAAAGTACTTTCTGGATTTTGTCTCGGAACATCGGTAATCCGTGCTAACCCGTTTTTAACGTGGAGCATGTTGTTGCGCACCGGCGCTAATCTATTTGTAACTTAATTATCTGTCGTTTTCCTTTTCTACCCTTCCTATTACCCTACCCAAGTAACACTTTTAGTTTTATTATGGTCTTCAAGAACGCTTTAAAACAAAATTTTGTTTTAAAGCGTTCTTGAAGACCATAATAAAACTAAAAATGTTACTTGGGTAATTCCTTCATTTGGACCTGACATGGACATCTTGGACTTCTTGGAACTTCAGGGTGCGAGTGAATCTTATATGCGAGTATGTATACAACCAGTATATTTGTTTTTTGCGTGTTTTTGTTTAATTAAATACTTTATCTGTTTTAGGAAATTTTAGGTACATAATATGATAAGGAGGGTGGAGGGTAACTCCGCCAGGTATTTTTTACCTGCCGGTCCCAAGCCCGGATAAAGGAGGAGGGCCCTCACTCTTTTCAAGATGGAACTTAGGTGGTTTTGTCAGGTTGGAACTTTTTATTTTTTAAAGATCAGTTCTTTTATTTCCTTTTAGTATAGACTTCCCATTTAGCACCTTGTTTATGTAGGACATTGAACGTCTTCATATTTTAAAGATCAGTTCTTTTGGTACGAACTTAATACTATAAAGTACATAAGTCAAATCTCTTTTAGGCAGGGTTCCCAGACAGCAATATGACGTCTTAATTAAGTCTGCATAAGCTCTATTTTATAATTTGGACGCCAAATACAACATCAGAAAGAAGTTTTTAAGAAGTTCTTAAGACTTCGAATGCGCCACCTTGAACATTGAACTAATCAAGACTTCTCAAAAAAGGACTCTTGAGGAACCCTTTTCTTTGACTTCGCAATTAAGCATTTTAAAGAGTCCTACTGTATCAACTTATAAAAAGACTTCTTTAGAATTTCCTATTTTGGATATAGAAGTACTACTAGGGTACTGATGAAAAAATTACATACTGGATCGTTGCTTATTTTGACATGTCAAGTTTATTTTATTAATTTTATTAATTTGTTAAATGGATTTTATTAAAATCATTTTAATAATTTGCTCGTATTCGCTTATTTTAGGAATTGCGATTACTTTGTCTCACTTTTGTTTAAATTCAAGCGTGGTCTTCACCGGCACCGATAGACGGCCTGTTTCGCTCTTTTGGAGCTCGTCAGTATCGGGTAGCCGTTTACCTAGGTCTAAGACCGTTTGGTATGGACTCCATATAGTTTATGTCGCTGCTAACATGTGTTTAATAAAAATAAAATATTGATATTATTTTATACGGAAAATACACACCCAGTTTTGTAATTTTTATTTTTGAAACTCAGCCCTACGTAATATTATAACATAGTTATTATGAAATAGCAACTCAAATTTTGGTATACAATATTTAATGTTTATGATTGATAAAACCACAAAAAATTTAAGCTTAAGTTTAAAAGTGAGCTAAAGCCACCCGTGTTTACGGTACAGGCAAATTTTAAAATTTGGTCTGGTTTTAGACATTTACCGTTCTTTAACATCTTTTAAAAGGTTTATATTTTAAAATAAAAACAAGTCTTTTGAAATAATTGTAACGCTAACAATTATTTCTAATTTGCTATTAATATAACCTATGATAATAATACGCAAATCAGACTCAGTATGCGGCGCAGAGCACAGAACAATACGCGCAGACTGCGCCGCAGACAACGCTTGGCGGAAAGGTGCGGGCAGAAACAATTCGTATGAGTTCACGGCCTTGTTGGAATCAGGAGCGTATTCAGGAAAATTTAATAAATAAATATAATAATATTTAATAAAGTATAAACATTTAAATAATAATATTTATTTATTTAATTTCATGCTTCAATTTTTTTAACATGTGGGTAATATGTTTTTTGCTTAAGCATGTCGAAGCCAATCGGGGGCCCCCCTAGCCGGGGGCCCCGTATCATTGATACGGCTGATACCGCGGTAGCTACGCCCCTGCGTAGCAGCTACGTTCCAAATAGTACCTAGCAGGGTTTATAGCTAGTGACATATTTGTTACCTTTTTGGAACTCAATAATTGTTCCCCACTTTAGTCGTAACTTAGTAATGGAAGAGTAATATAAAGAGACCGGCGACTGTCGCAAAACACTTTTAAGTTTTTTCAATAGTCCCATATACGTACCTAACAAATACTTAAATTGTTGCTTGGAAAACTAACAAGCTAATTTATACAAACTAGAGTTTGGTACCGGTTCATTATCGCTATTCGCTTCTGGCAAAAAGTACTTTAAGCACTTGTGTTTTGTTTTGGAGTTGGGGAATATTTCTAATACTGGTTTAACGTTTTTTGTAGTTTTAGGACATTAACCTCACCAAATGAATCATCAAAAAGGATAGCAGCATTGGTGATGTTCTGATTGATAACAATAGTTCGTATCATTTCGGGTATCATATCTGCCGGCGGTATTATTTGTATGAGGTACTGTTTTTCGTTTTCATCGATGTTTCTCCATTGCCTTAAGTCGCCTTCCTGGCCGAAGGAAGCACTTATAGTCGGCAAACCTAACGCTGATGTGAACGATTTCACTGTTTCGGATGCTAATCCCGTTTTGGTCGTGTCCAAGACCAAATGGGGTGGGATGTTTTTCTCCAACATATCGTTGTATGTACTGCATACTGAAATTGTTTTGTTTTAATTACACTGTCCAATAAATTCCAACTTTCTTTTAAAAAAGTATGGAACAAATACATTGAAAAATTCGCCTTTTTTCTCAAAAAAATCCGGCAAATATGAAAATTTAACACTGTATATAGTAGGTTGTGTTATTTTTGAGCAACTTTTTTTTTCAACTAAAAAACAGGCTGAAAACTTTCAGGAAGGTGAAAAAAGAAGCCTCTAAAAATTTGAACTTTTAATAATAACATTAAGTGGTGCCTGTTCCTAACTTTCCATTTAAATAACATGGAAAAAAAATAATTTTTTCTTATTTTTGTATCTTGACATTTAAGCATTGTAAAAACGAACTGAAAAATTATTTTGGTAGGAAATTGAACGCTCTACAAAAAAGTACTAATTTATTTTTTCATAGAGTAAGCCGTTCTGAAGGTATTCAAACTTGCAAATGTATGAAATTATGACTTTTATTTTATTAAACTAATACTTTTTTTATGTCTTAAAAATTATTTTAAGAAAAAATAATTATTTTCGTATAGAAAGAAAATAACACTTACATCTCAATTTTTTTTCCATTTTATTTTATTTACTATCAAAAAAAGTTATTTGTGTTCAATAAATTTGTTCAATAATTATATGAGATTAAATAAAACAATGAATTTGTTACAGGGCCATATTACCCATTAGGCAGGCAAGGCAATTGCCTTAGGCGCCACGTAGAAATAGGCGCCCAAGCAACTTAAAAAAAATAAAAATTGTTACCAAAATGTTTATTTTTTCCAAAAATAAAACTAATAAACAATATACAATTGTAATAACAGAATATTATTTACTGTTTTTATTATTTTATAAAAATTTAGCTTCCTCTTTAATAACGAGGTGTAAAGCCGACAAAAAAGCGTGCCGCAAATTCACTTCTGTTTTTATGCCAAATACATAAATGTATTTCAGATAAAATTAATCAGGTGTTATATCACCATGCTTGATTACGAGGGCACTCCGTTTTGAAGTAGAATAAGATATTTTATTATTAACTGTATAATTAACAAATAATAATAAATCTTAACGTTAAACTGTAAACAAAAACTTAAAAGATAATTTAATTTGTAAACTTTACCCTGTATAAACATATCTTTAGCACTCTTTAAACTATTTCAAAACCCCCGTATGCTCCAAGCACACGGATTCCTCTTGCATCGGGTACCCGCTGTGATTTGCTGCTCACCCCAGCGGGTACGCGATACTAGAGGAAACTGCTGCCGGAAGGACTTGGGTGTTTTCGCGTTTATTCAAGAGTGGCACTTCTATGTGTTGTGTGTTTGGTGATAGCAGTCTGTGTTCGATAGTTAAGGTTGATTTAGCCTGGCTTTTAAATTAAATTACGTTACGTTAGATTACGTTACACAAAATGCTGGCTAAATCCACATTTAGATAGTGTTAATTTTTCTGTTTGTTTTAAGGTATTTCTGAAATTTTAATATTAAACTAATTACAATAAACCAGCAGTACATCTAACATACAAATACTTACTAATGATATCTTGCAGAAAAACGCACTTATAAGTCCTAACACTTTTTATTTACATTATATTTGTTATGTTTGTATGATATTTATGTTTTTTATGTATTTTTTTAATGATAAAAAGTATTCTATTTCATAGGGAATAATTAGGTTATAATGCTCGGGCGCCCTTAAGCTAACAGTTTGGGGTGGCTCTAATAAGCTTTTTTTAAATTTGCCCCGAGCCCCGTAAGTATAGTATCTAGTTAGAGGAGCCAAATTTTTAAGTGCCTAAGGCGCTCAATTGCCTTAAGCCGGCTCTGATTTGTTATTGCATTGAATTTTTAATCTTTCTTTATTTTTTATAATTTTAAAGTCGATAACTCTGATAAAAGATTATATCGGTTCAGTCGGTATATTACCTTTTGGATTACACAGTGACTAGAGGCACGCTAACGTGCCGCGATTCGAAATATTAAAGGCAATTTTAAGTTTGAATACCTTCAGAACGGCTCACTCTATGAAAAAATATATTAAAACTTTTTTGTAGAGCGTTCAATTTCCTACCAAATAAATTTTTCAGTTCGTTTTTACAATGCTCAAATGTCAAGCTACAAAAATAAGAAAAAAGAAAAAAAAATTCCATGTTATTTAAATGGAAAATGGAAAGTTAGGAACAGGCACCACTTAATGTTAATATTAAGAGCTCAAATTTTTAGAGATTTCTTTTTTCACCTTCCTGAAAGTTTTTAGCCTGTTTTTTAGTTGAAAAAAAAAGGTGCTTAAAAATGAAACAAAAGTTGCTTAAAAATGACACACCCTATACTATAGTTGTATGTTTTTTCTTTTCTTACGTAATTCTAAAAGTCCTGTGCTGTCTGTACGGTTACCAACAACTTTTCTAGGTTCAGCGCTAACACCAAGTTTGCTGTTTTTCTTTATATAATTTACGGCAACTTCGACTGCCTTATCAGCTATGGTGTTACCTTCTTCATTGACAAATACTAAAAAAATTAGTAAAAAATCTATTGCGATATCAATGAAACAAAATAAAATTTCAATTTTACTTACATACATTAATATTTTGTGTAGTTTGACTGTAAACTACATAAACACTAGATAAAAAAATTGCAACAATTAACTTAAAATCCATCGCGATTGTGCCTATTGGTATTTAATAGTTAAATAGAACTACATAGATAGATAGGTGAAGAATTTATATTTAATTTTATAAAAAATCGAAACCTTCCCCGTTACCAGGCAATCGTTTGAACATACATACACATGATTAATTATGTATAATGTTTTACCACCAATATTTCATCGTGTTTAGGTTTAATTTGATACATCTATTATTAAATATACGAGGGCTTCTACAGAATACATTTATTTGATTAAATTTAAGATATTTTTGTTAAAAAAACTAACATTAATGAAAAGAGCCATTTTTATTTGCAAAATTCCGCAAGTTTTTAACTAAATTCGACTAGTAACAGAAAATAATCAAGTTTTTGTTTTTGTACAATAAATGCAACTCTTTATATTTATTACTTTTTATTCAGTAGTCATTTAAAAAAAATTAAAATAGTTTTGCTAAAAAAAGTATGGGCCTTTGTAACATTTATAAAAAATTACAATTCTTAGGGATAGCAATTCAATAATAAATGCAACTTTTTATATTTATTGCTTTTTATTCAGTAGTCATTTGATTAAATTTAAAATATTTTTGTTAAAAATCTATATGTAACATTTATAAAAAATGAAAATTCTTAGGGATATCAAATAAAATATCGTCATTTTGGTAACAAGAGCCATGATGATGCGGAACATCCGCATCCTTTAAATGCGGATTTTTATTTTCAAATTTCGCAAGTTTTCAACTAAATTCGATCATTAACAAAAAATAATCAAGTTTTTGTTTTTCAATAATAAATGCAACTTTTTATATTTATTGCTTTTTTTGAGTAGTAATTTGATTAAATTTAAGATATTTTTGATAAAAAAAACTAAAAACAATTATAAAAAATGAAAATTCTTAGGGATGGGAAAGAAAATATCGTCATTTTGGGAACAAGAGCCATGATGATGCGGAACATCCGCATCCTTTTTAGCGGATTTTTATTTGCAAATTCCGCAAGTTTTCAACTAAATTCGATTATTAACAAAAAATAATCAAGTTTTTGTTTTTCAATAATAAATGCAACTTTTTATATTTATTGCTTTTTATTCACGAGTCATTTGAATAAATTTATGATATTTTTGTTAAAAAAAACATGTCTTTGTAACATTTATAAAAAAAATTACGATTTTTAGGGATAGCAAAGAAAATATCGTCATTTTGGTAACAAGAGCCATTTTAATGCGGATTTTTAAGTTTTCCACTAAATTTAGTCAAGCTTTTTGTATCATTAAATGGACATAAATTAAAAAACAATTTCACAATTTACACCTGCAGATGTTGACTTAAAAATGCTCTGCATCTGCATTTTTAGGGCACCTTGGAATGTTATACAATTGATGGATTAAAATATTTACGTAGAAAAAGTTTAAGCGCATTTTTCAATTGTTTCAGTGGAAATTAGTTTTATTGATTTATATGGTTTATTAATAAATTGTTCAATACACAGCGTTGCCAGCTTTTTTAAAAAAACTACATTCTCGAAAAAAAAATTAAAACCAAACAATGTTATAAGGCTCTTTAATTAACGGAATAATAAAACGCTTAATGTTACAGTAACTTATTAAGTAAAGGGATTAAAGTTTATGTTTGGGTCTGACTTTTGGCAACTCATCATTAAGACAAGTCAAAACAGTTTCAAACATTTCCTTGACGGACAAATTGGCATTCCACTGTAAATTTCTGATAGGATCTTTGCATTCTTCTTTTTCACAGTCATGTATCAACCATAGGGCAGGTTTTTTTTGCGGAAAATGTTGATCTAAAAGTTTTTTTTATTTTTTTATAGTTTTAGCATGGTAGGATCGATAAATAAACTTACCAACACTTATTTCAACCAAAAAATCGTTTCCTTCCAAGGTGCATTTCACCATACAATTCATTAAGTTACCGATATCATAATCCACAACATGTTCAGGGGACATGGCGAGAATATAACACATGAACATTTTTCTTTTTTCGTAATCTTTGACCCTCAACTTAATTCTGTGGCTCAAAACGTTATTTATGTTATCCAAATATTCGCTTATCGTCGAGTCTTTGGCAACTTCTGGAATGTGGAAACTTTTAGATTGACCCAATGTTTGCTCAACTCTCGCGGAAATTAGTAGAGCTGGTGTTGTTCTGTTTGCAGTGTAGGACATTCGCAGGTGTATAAAATCTTCCCCAGGATTCAAAAGTTTGCTGGGGTCTCTGAAATTTCGTCGATATATTGTAAAGTATATCTACAAAAATCTACCACAAATATGTGGTACAGTGAGTCAGCTTGTTTTGGTTTAAGAAATATCTTAAACCAAAACAAGCTGACTTACTGTAGATAAAATTTTGGTCAAACCCTAACTTTTTGCCATTTTTGACCAACATTTAGAGCTGGAAAAGTATCTAAGATACTATATGAAAGTATCTTAGATACTTTTGAGTAACTAAGGTACTTTTAAGTTACTTAAGATACTTTTGGGTAACTAAGTTACTTTTAAGTATAAATAAAAACTATAAAATTATGAAAATTCAACAAGTTGTAGGTTAGGTAATTACTTTGAATCATTCTGAAATTCCCCTAAAAATTAGGGATGGCAAAGAAAATATCGTCCTTTTGGTTACAAGAGCCATGTTGATGCGGAACATCCGCATCCTTTTAATTCGGATTTTTATTTGCAAATCCGGCATGTTTTCAACTAAATTCGATTATTAATAGAGAAAAATCAAGTTTTTGTTTTTCTATAATAAATGCAACTTTTTATATTTATTGCTTTTTATTCAGAAGTCATTTAAAAAAATTTAAGATATTTTTGTTAAAAAAAATATGGATCTTTGTAATATTTATAAAAAATGACAATTTTTAGGGATAGCAAAGAAAATATTGTCATTTCGGTAACTAGAGCCATGATGATGCGGAACATCCGCATCCTTTTAATGCGGATTTTTATTTGCAAATTCCGCAAGTTTTCAACTAGATTCGATTATAACAAAAAATAATCAAGTTTATGTTTTTCTATAATAACTGCAACTTTTTATATTTATTGCTTTTTATTCAGTAGTCTTTGATAAAATTTAAGATATGTTTGTTAAAAAAACTATGCGTCCTTGTAACATTTATAAAAATGACAATTTTTAGGGATAGCAAAGAAAATATCGTCATTTCGGTAACAAGAGCCATGATGATGCGGAACATCCGCATCCTTTTAATGCGGATTTTTATTTGCAAATTCCGCAAGTTTTCAACTAAATTCGAAAATTAATATAAAATATTCAAGTTTATGTTTTTCTATAATAAATGCAACTTTTTATATTTATTGCTTTTTATACAGTAGTCATTTGATAAAATTTAAGATATTTTTCTTAAAATATCTATGGGTCTTTGTAACATTTATAAAAAATGACAGTTTTTAGGGATAGCAAAGAAAATATCGTCATTTTGGTAACAAGATCCATGATGATGCGGAACATCCGCATCCTTTTAATGCGGATTTTTATTTCCAAATTCTGCAAGTTTTTAACTAAATTCGAATATTAATAGAAAATAATCAAGTTTATGTTTTTCTATAATAAATGCAACTTTTTATATTTATTGCTTTTTATACAGTAGTCATTTGATAAAATTTAAGATATTTTTGTAAAAAAAACTATGTGTCTTTTATAAAAAATGACAATTTTTCAACAAAATTCGATTATTAAATTAATAAATAATCAAGTTTATGTTTTTCTATAATAAATGCAACTTTTTATATTTATTGCTTTTTATTCAGTAGTTATTTGATAAAATTTAAAATTTGTCTAAAAAAACTATGGGTCTTTGTAACAATTATAAAAATGACAATTTTTAACGAAAAACTTTTTATATGTATTGCTTTTTATTTAGGAGTCATTTGATTAAATTTAAGATATTTTTGTGTTGTATTTGTAATTTCCCTAATTTTTTCTAAGAAAGTACGTTAAAGTAAGTTACTTTAAAAAGTATCCAAGTATGTAAGTTACTTATATTAATTACTTTACCAAGTAACTTTCTAAGAAAAATGATTTAAGGCTTGTCACTGACCTTTCCTGACATTTTTTTTTTCAATTTTAAAAACCCTTTATCAAGAGAAAAATATACGTGGAAGACTGCCAGGTATCCTATCAACTAGACCATACAGGATATTCGTTTTTATATTAAACAAAACTTATTCAGGTGTTATAAGTAGCTTGGGTGGGCTACTTATAAAACCGTTATAATAGGTTTTGTTCAATATAAACATACCAAGGCAACACTACCTTTTTGAAATAAATAAATGTAAGATTATTATTTTTAAAACACTTATCAAAAAATGTTCATTTTAATGACATCCATATACAATTAAAAAATAAGTATGAACTCAGACAACACCCTTTAGAATGTAAACTTTCACTTACAATTGAATATACGGTGGTATTTTGTCATAATCTATATTTAAAGCAATTAATAGGTGCACTATATTATTTTCAGCAATAACTTCAATATTATCAGGTGATATTTCACATTTATTAATTAGTTCCTCATATTCCTCTTTAACCTTGGTATACATGTTATCAACGTTTATTTTTTCCAACTAAAATTGAACGTTTTCGTAAAATATTCCTCCAACAACCTTATATCTAACCTGTTCTTTTTTAAACAGACTAAGAAACTCTTTTAAAACATCAACGATCGCCTCCGGGTTATTTATATCCCATTCGTTTAGAGAGGGAACATTTTCAATAATAGTTTTAACATCAGGATTGGCCAAAAAAGTGTCATCTTTAAAATCGAAGTCGGGAGCAAAGCTGTAATCTTCTGGATTAAATATTATTTCCCAAGACAGCCGTTTGCCAGCATATGGAACTTTAATTATAAAATGATAGCTATGTATCACTTTGTTGGCTATTTTGTTATGCACTATTTCTAAATCATTCGCTGTTACATTAGACAATCCTTAAAAAACAAAATATTCATTGTAAGAATTTGTGTTGATATTTTCTTACCTATTTTTCCTCTTAAACATAACTCTTTTATATTAGACCTAAGACAGGGCGGATAATTCAACAGTAAATCTTCGTCGTTGTTTGATAAATCCATTTTTACAAAACAGCCCTTTGTTTACAACACAGAAAAATAACAAGCGAAGAACTAATTGAGGTTAGGATTGCTAAGAGTAAAGCGACGTTGCTAACTCTAGTTGCACATGACCGGCAAATTTAAATTCTTATAAAATATTTTTTTAATTTGTGGTGCAAATAAAACCAACATAATTTGTAAGCAATATATTTATTTACAAGGTTATTTATATTTTTCCATTAACCGAACCATGGGTCTGTATACCAGTCTTACATCATCAGGGTGAATAATAAAGTCAAAATGAGTAAAATTCGCAAATGGAACTCTATACATGATTACATTCGAGAGAGATTCGCCCAACAGTCGTACCGACTAAAAAATACAATGAAATTTTTTTTGATTATCTGTTTTAAAATCCTGTGAGTATTTTTACCTCTGGTGAAGTTATCCAGTCTCTATCTGAATAAAACAAAGCCGACGGAGCTTTAGAATTTTGTATGTTATACTCTGGAGGGTATGGGGCATTGTAGTGTTTCAAGTTACCTTGAATTCCATAATCATAGTATCTGAATCCTAAAAATAATTGTAGGTACTGTCAAAAATTTTGCAACCTGTTTTTTATTTCTAAAGGGGTTTCCCAAAAATAATAGCATTATCTTTGGGGTTACCCATTTATTTAAAACCATGGTTCAAATAACGACCCAGTGTTGTCATTTTTTGGGTAATCAGCACTATCCGGGAATTTTACCATTTTAAAATTTATTAATTAATCTATAATTTATACATATAGGTACATTAATGGTTATTTAAAAAATGAAAAGTCTCGCCATCTGGGTTGCCTATGTACTGATATACTCAAGATGTAATCTGTGGATGTAACCTTAGACCAAAGTTTGGTCACCAAACCAATAGATAAAATGAGTACATTAGATGCAAAACTCGGTTTTTGCACATTTTTAAAAAATATATATTTTATCTTATTTATGTTCATAACTGCACTGCCCACAGTATACCTAAGTAAACCAGATGCATAAGTTAATATTTGTAGAATAAAATACATTTATAAACTTACCGCAGCTGCAAAACTGGGTATTTGTTTCTTCCTGTCGGATGCAAAACTCGGTATTTGACCAATCACCAATCACGTCGCTAGTATACGCATTAACTGACGGCATAACAATCACCTGATTAATTGTTATTTTTTTGGTATTTGCACTTTTAACTTGCAAAACTTGGTCTTTGAACGAGGAAGATGCAAAACTAGGGTAAAACACCCAATAGTTGGCAGGTACCCAGTTATTGGCAACGAGGAAAAATAAATCATTTTATAAGCAGATTTCCATATTAAGTTTTATGCGTACTTACATTTTTATAACCAGAGGCACCAGCACCACCCCTTGAATGTCAATCAGGTTTGACATTACTCAATGTTTTAAAGTAAACGTTATCGAAAAATTGCCCATGTTTCGCGCGGCAAAAAATCGCCATTTTGGTAGTTGGTAAGTTTTAAATTTTTTGCCTTAATAATGCATGTTAATAAAAGTTAAACAATTTTTTATTATACAAAATTTTAACAATTTTTTATTTAATTATTTTACTTTTAAAAGTGAATTTTCAATATGCCCAGTACTGGGTATCATATTTTAGTGCAAACCAATTATTAGCATTACTGCCAATAACTAAATTAATTGAAATTTGACCTGTACCAATTATTGGCGATTGATTATTTTTTACCAAATTTTATTCAAAATTTCAATTTTTGGCAGAGAAAAATAAATAAAAATGCCCAAGGTTAAGAAAAATCATAAATATTGATATGATATTGATATGATCGATATTTGTGATCCCAACGCAAGTATTTCGCCGAGTCCATGGAAAAAAATACACGAAGATAAACAAAAAGAAAAAGACATAAAAGAAAAAGAAAAACAGGAAAAAGAACGAAAAAGAAAAGAAAAAACTATAGCTAACCAAAATACAAAACAAGTGAAAACATCAAATACTAAAAATATTCAAAAAGGAAAAAGTTTAATAAGCCAAAGAATATAAAAAATCTAAATTCCATTAAAACGAGAAAAGACAAAAATAAAGCTAACGAAAATGCATCAAAATTAAAAATCTTAGTTTCCTTGGAAAATATTGAAAAAGAAAATAGCGAATACAAAAATAAGAAATCAATCAGAAATTCAACTGAACCAAGTACCAAATCAGGCCTTCCTATCAATAATGTATAATAAGTTTGCATAGCTTTGAAGGCGTTTAAAATTAAACTAAATTAACAATATTTTATCTTGGTTTGTTAGGATTAATTGCATATTTTGTATCATTTTAGTAAGCAGTTGTTTAGAACCAGTTTCTTAGTTTTTTCGTTTATTTATTTTGTACATAAATTAGCTAATCAAAAAAATAAAGAATCAATTTATATTTTACTTAAACCTGCTATAAAAAAAATTCCTAATTAAAAAATAGAATTTGGAAAATGGTTAATAGTTGGATCCAGTTACATGCCAATGCTTAGGATAAGCGTCAATTACTGCATTTTATCTATTGCCAAACACTGGGACTTGATGCCAATAACAGGTTAAGTTATAATGCCAATGACTAGAGATATCTGCCAATGACTGGAAAAGTTACATAAAATAAAAAAAATATTTTTTTTTACTTATAAAACTTATTTTTGAGTTATGTTTTGTTTGAAAACTATAAAAGAATCTTTAAAGACTTTCCATTTAAAGGGGTAATTAGGTGGCTTTACTTTTAGTTACATAAAAACTACAAATATTCTGATAAGCTGCTTAAGGTGCCAATAACTGGGTGTTTTACCCTATGTTTTTAAATCTTTTGATTTCAATTATTTACTAAACTACTTAATTTTAAATTACTTTTTTTTACTTTTTTGAATAAGAAATGATGCAAAAGCAGGTCTATACGATTTTTGTATTTTTTTTTTCAAATATGACCTTATGAGCGGTTTTTCGTGTTTTTCTTAAAATCACTTATCCTGCAAATACAGAGTTGTGCATCTAATGTACTCAAATATCTTATGTCGGATGTCGGGACAGTATTATAATATTTAGCCAAGCCAAGAGAGGGCGCGGATTTTATAATTTTTTGACGTTTTTACGTTTTTGACTTTTAATTATATTCGTAGACTACGGACCGTAGTTATCGAATTTTTGTAAAATTTTGTGTAGGTATTTGTATGTTTTTATTGTGTATTGTTTCTAAGGTTTGTATTATAATAATAATTTATAAACGACACTATGACTGAATCATAATCTTTCAGATGGTAGGCATGTACTATGCTCCACACTTCAAAGTCCCACCACGTGACCACGTACGGAACGCAGTCTATTGATAAATTGTCATTTAAGGCTTTTCAGGTTATGTATCTGTCAAAGTATAGTCAATGCAAGAAATAATATTTATACTGTTACCATTTATGTTTAAGCGTTAAAAGTTTATAAATCTTTATAGTATCACAGTAACAATGGTTGGTTTAAGAGTTAAGGAGTATAAATACTGCATTTAATGAAATTCTAAAGTGTATAGTGCCAAATAAGTAAAATTTTTGTGCATTTGGTTTACATACATATTACATATTACATATTATGTATTTCTGGTTTTATCCATTAAATAGTTTTAACTAAACGGCATTTATTAAAAAAATTTAGCTTGTCTATTATGGAATAAGAATATCTGTATCAAAAGTAGGTTAATATAATATAACAAAAAATATCATCCAATTTTGAAATTTTAAGGTTAGAAAAATCTATTTTGATCAAAATAAATAAGTATTTTGGATTATTTGGAAGAGTGTGTTAATATGGTCATATAAATATAGATATACTAAATAATTGTTGAATATGGTTCAATTTAAATTAAAGCTTTTATACTCCTAACAACAAAACTTCTGCATACATCTTGGGATCCCTACTTTAAGTTAGATTATAAGGAAACAAACAATTTTTAGAGATACATGCAATGTAAAAATTTTTAATACTCCCATAACATGTGATTTTTGAATTTTTTAAAAGTTATAATGATTTTTCGATGAAGATAAAATTCAGTTGAAGCTTTATACGTAATTGTATTGACAAAACTTTATGTAGGTATACTTTAAGCTGGATAAGAAAGACTACTACAAGTAAAATATTAGAAAGAGTATACTGTGGTTTTATTTAAATTTTAGAATTTATAAGGTTATTTATACCTAATGATTGTTCGATATCGAAAAGCTTTGACAAAATTTTATCTACATATGTAGATAAAATTTTGTCAAAGCTTTTATAGGTACTTGTATTGACACTATGGGTATATTAGCTGACAGTGTAAGGAACTTTAAGAAGGTTAGCTATTGAATTTCCAAAAACACTTGTAAAAACAATTTACAGTTACAGTACCTACCTAATGGTTTTATATTTGAGATCTCTCATGGTGCTTATTTCCAAGTTATTTAATTACAGCTTACATTTAGGTAGTTGATGACTAATTTGTTTTACTTGGGCATACATATTTATTTATTTAAAGTACTTAAAACATAAATATATTTCAAGATTTTTAAAAGTGTGTTTTATTTCAATTAAACCAACATTATAGGGGTTTATTTTAAAGGAATCCAAAACAACCCCTTAAAATGAATAAAATTGTTTGTTTCCTTATAATCTAACTTAAAGTAGGGATCCCGAGAGGTATGCACAAGTTTTGTTATTAGGAGTATAAAAGCTTTAATTTAATTTGAACCATATTCAACAATTATTTAGTATATCCATATTTATAACACACTCTTCCAAATAATCCAAAATACTTATTTATTTTGATCAAAATAGATTTTTCTAACCTTAAAATTTTAAAATTAGATGATATTTTTTGTTATAATATATTAACCTACCTTTGATACAGATATTCTTATTCCATAATAGAGAAGCTAGATTTTTTTAATAAATGCCGTTTAGTTAAAAATATTTTATGGATAAAACCAGATATAATATATTAACATATTATGTAGACCAAACGCACACAAATTTTACTTATTTGGCACTATACACTTTAGAATTTCATTAAATGCAGTATTTATACTCCTAAACTCTTAAACCAACCATTGTTACTGTGATACTATAAAGATTTATAAACTTTTAACGCTTTTAAGCGTTTAAAAACATAAACGGTAACAGTATAAATATTATTTATTTCATTGACTATACTTTGACAGATACATAACCTGAAAAGCCTTAAATGACAAATTTTCAAAAGACTGCGTTCCGTACCTGGTCACGTGGTGGGACTTTGAAGTGTGGAGCATAGTACCTATTGTTTAATAAAATTTATGGATTTAAGAGTATTCTTCAATTTCAAAATAATGATTAATGAGACCGTTATTATTAAATTTACACATTAGCGACTTTTCCGAAAAACGGACTGGGGGTTGCCAAAATGCAAAAAATACGTGTGGAGGGATGTAAAAGTGCATAAGCAATCGGCGCAGGGTAAAAAAGTTGTATAATTATCACGTAATTAATAAAAAGGGCTGATAATTGAAGTGACTTACAGTGATTTCCTGTGAAAAAGAGCATGTAGCGAGTCAAAAACACGTATCTAATAGACGTAGAATTTGAAAGTGAATTGAAAAAGCTTGAATTATGAAAAACAACGTCATAAATTGCGGAAAATGCAATTTTTAAAATCAGGTAATTTGAGGTTATGCAGGTTCACAATCCAGCCTGCCCATAGATATATTATACCTATATTGCTCAATGGGGCGGGGGGGGCCAATGGGGCGGGGTCGGTTGGGTTGGGTTGTTAAGTTTGGGTTGGTTTGGGTTGGTTTCGCTCACCTTTGCCCATTTTAGTGTACCTGCATAACCAAGATGACAGCTAATCGTCATAACCTCAAATTACCTGATTTTAAAAATTGCATTTTCCTCAATTCATGACGTTGTTTTTCATAATTCACGCTTTTTCACTTCCACTTTCAAATTCTACGTCTATTAGATACGTGTTTTTGGCTCGCTGCATGTTCTTTTTCACAGAAAATCACGGTAGGTAAGTAACTTCAATTATCAGCCCCTTTTTTTATTAAATACGCGATAATTATACAACTTTTTCACCCTGCGCCGATTGTTTATGCACTTTTACATCCCTCCACACCTATTTTTGGCATTTTGGCAACTTTCCTGTCGTTTTTCGGAAAAGTCGCTAAAGTGAAAATTTACCCAGTTATTTTTGGTAGACTATCATAATTCATAATTAACAAAAATAATGTTTCTTACCATATATAAATGGTACTTTTGGGAATAAGTATGATAATGATTCAACGAGTTTTAAAAATTAAAATAATCACAGATTTAACAAATGAATACTAAATACACTTGTATTACATTTACAAACATTTGTATTCCTCATTGCTTTTCCATAAATCTGCGAATATCTTTAGTTTATAAAAGTTGCTTGAGAATTACTAAACAGCATAACCAAAGATAATATTAAAATGTAGCCACAAGTTAGATTTTAAATATAGCGCCATTGAAGTAACCAATCAAATACGTTGATTTTCCACCAATTAAAAGCTATGTTGGCAACAATTAATTTTTAACCAAGATCAGAGAGGGCGCTTCATCAAACTTGTTTTTTTGTAATTATGTGGGAACTCCCCACATAATTACCCACTGGGGAGTTTCTGGGGAATTTAAAAATTGGCATTAGTAACGCTACCTGTACATTTATTATTAATATGATTTATTTAAACTTCCGCTGATTTTGTATGTGTAAAAGTGTAATAAAAGTGACTTCCGCTGCTGATATAAGCTTTATTGAATAAATTCTAAAAAAGACAAGAATGATAGTGATGGACATAAGTGAATAAAAAGACTATAAGTGAAAAAAGAATCTAAAAGTGACATCCCAGGTAGCACAACGTGACGAAACCGTCACGGTTTCGTCACGTTGTGCTACCTGGGATAAATAATAATAATTAATAAACTATAAAACAAAGAAAAAAAGGAGAAGCTATAGGTTATCCTAGACTCGCTTGCTCCAGTATAATAATAATAAAATACAGCTGGCTAATTCCCGGAAGGGAAAGGCCAATCAAACCAGAGCAGAAGAAGAATATGATTTATTATCTATGATTAGTACCTATTAAAATGCCAGAGTTACTTACCACTTGTAGTAAACTGTACGTATTGTTTTAACTGATATATGGATAATCCAGAAGGTATGGTACGCAATATCCAAAAGAGAAGGTTCTAAAAATGTATAAATTAATTAGGTATAAGTTATAACTCACATTTATTAATGTCAAAATATGGTAGGTAGTACTTATAACTTATAAGTACTACCTACTCGAAAAAGAAGAAAACAATAACTTATATAGCGTGATATATATCATGTGAAAATTAATTTAAACTTATGAAAATAAACTGTATAAAAATTTGTTTTTCTTTTCTTTAATATTGAAATATATAAATATATTTATTTACCTACTTACATATATGTAAGTATTCTTTCGCTATTCCAGATCAGAATTTGTTTTAATATGATTATTTATTATAAACTGCTCGTCATAAAAAACGACGCACCTAGTTTTTTGGAAAATATTTGAAAGCTCGTTATTGGAAAATTACTGAATCGATTTTGAAAATCTTTGAAAATTCTGAATAGCTGATTCTTTGACTCTTATGTCTAATTTTGAGAATACGATATTTTGCACATAGCATTATACTACAGGGTGTTAAACGAAGAGATGCATTTTTTTCGAAATTTAAAGTTATTCCCATTCATAGGGCAGTCGACTTTGATAGTCGTAATACCCCTCCCTGATATAAGTTGGGTAATCCCTCGGAACGTTTTCGAGATTTTGTGGATATCTTGGCTAACTACGATTATATGCCAATTTTTTGAAAATTGTCCTTATTCCCCAGTTTAGTCCAAAAAATGAGCAATAGTGGATTCTTTGACTTACGTCTAATTTTGGGAATACGATATTGTGTACATGACATTATACTACAGGGTGTTAAAAAAAGAGATGTTTTTTTCCAAAATTCCAAATCCCCATTCACAGGGCAGTTGTGCTTGATAGTCGTAATACCCCTCCCTAGTAACAGTTAGGTAATCCCTCGGGACGTTTTCGAGATTTTGGGGATATCTTGGCTAACTACGATTATATGGCAATTTTTCGAAAATTGTCGTTTTTCTCCATTTTAGTCCAAAAAATGGGCAATAGTTGATTCTTTGACTCTTATGTCTAATTTTGGGAATACGATATTGTGCACTTAGCTACATACTACAGGGTGTTAAAAAAAGAGATGTTTTTTTTTTCAAAATTCCAAATCCCCATTCACAGGGCAGTTGAGCTTGATAGTCGTAATACCCCTCCCTAATAACAGTTAGGTAATCCCTCGGGACGTTTTCGAGATTTTGGGGATATCTTGGCTAACTACGATTATATGGCAATTTTTTGAAAATTGTCGTTATTCTCCATTTTAGTCCAAATAATGAGCAATAGTTGATTATTTGACCCTTATATCTAAGTTTGGGAATACAATATTGTGCACATAGCATGCTACTACAGGGAGTTAATAAAAGGGATGTTTTTTTCCAAAATTCCAAATCCCCATTCAAAGGGCAGTTAAGCTTGATAGTCCTAATACCCCTCCCTAATAACAGTTAGATAATCCCTCGGAACGTTTTCAAAATTTTGTGGATATCTTGGCTAACTACGATTATATGGCAATTTTTCGAAAATTCACGTTATTCTCCTCTTAAGTCACAAAAATGAGCAAACTACGGAAGGTATCTATTAGTTATCAACACAGAGTTTTAAGGTAGGTAACGTGCTTTCAGTTTATGTACGTTGCGTGATTCATTAAATCTGAAATTTTTTACACGAAAGCAATTTTTTTTTGGTGAAATTCAAAATAAAAACGCAAACCAAACAGCATTATTCTCGTAAACGTATGCAGGCTATATTCATGTAATTTTCTACAAACGGTTGACCATAAAAGTTTAAAAAATATGGTGCATATCTGGTTTTGACTTTCATTGCTTCAATTATTGTTGTCATTTTTTTCGTCGAATATGAAAATATTTTTCAAACAGCCAAACACATTAAAAAAATAAAATGACGGATGTAAGGTATGCAAAGTGAAATTAAACAATAAACAAAATTAAAAAAACAACTAAAATAAATAAATCAACAAATTTTATAATCTTCACTTACAAAATTATTAAAATGCAGAATAGATAGCTTTTAATCTCATGAACCAACGACAATAAGTGCGTAAATAAAGAAAAACATTCATTTACGCGAATCAACAATTTTAATATTTTGTTGGCCCACCGCAGACATGTATAACATCCGCTACCCTACTTGGCATACTATTGACCAAGTCTGCAATAAATGCTTGGGGAATAGCCCCCCATTCAAATCTTACTGAATTTACCGTGAAATCACCGTGAATTAACCGTGAAATCACCGTGAATTTATCGCAAAAACAGCGTGAGTTCACCGTTTAATTACCGTCTACAAATGTCACAAATGGACGGTATATTCACTGCACATAAACGGTGTTTTCACGGTGAATTCACGCAAACGGTGAATTCACGGTGAATTCACCGTAAACTCAAGGCCGCAAGGGAATAGATACCTTCCGTAGTTTGCTCATTTTTGTGACAAGAGGAGAATAACGTGAATTTTCGAAAAATTGCCATATAATCGTAGTTAGCCAAGATATCCACAAAATTTCGAAAACGTTCCGAGAGATTATCTAACTGTTATTAGGGAGGGGTATTAGGACTATCAAGCTTAACTGCCCTGTGAATGGGGATTTGGAATTTTGGAAAAAACACCCCTTTTATTAACACCCTGTAGTAGCATGCTATGTGCACAATATTGTATTCCCAAACTTAGACATAAGGGTCAAAGAATCAACTATTACTCATTATTTGGACTAAAATGGAGAATAACGACAATTTTCAAAAAATTGCCATATAATCGTAGTTAGCCAAGATATCTCCAAAATCTCGAAAACGTCCCGAGGGATTACCTAACTGTTATTAGGGAGGGGTATTACGACTATCAAGCTCAACTGCCCTGTGAATGGGGATTTGGAATTTTGGAAAAAAAAACATCTCTTTTTTTTAACACCCTGTAGTATGTAGCTAAGTGCACAATATCGTATTCCCAAAATTAGACATAATCAACTATTGCTCATTTTTTGGACTAAAATGGAGAATAACGACAATTTTCGAAAAATTGCCATATAATCGTAGTTAGCCAAGATATCCACAAAATCTCGAAAACGTCCAGAGGGATTACCTAACTGTTACTAGGGAGGGGTATTACGACTATCAAGCACAACTGCCCTGTGAATGGGGATTTGGAATTTTGGAAAAAAACATCTCTTTTTTTAACACCCTGTAATATAATGTCATGTACACAACATCGTATTCCCAAAATTAGACGTAAGTCAAAGAATCCACTATTGCTCATTTTTTGGACTAAACTGGGGAATAAGGACAATTTTCAAAAAATTGGCATATAATCGTAGTTAGCCAAGATATCCACAAAATCTCGAAAACGTTCCGAGGGATTACCCAACTTATATCAGGGAGGGGTATTACGACTATCAAAGCCGACTGCCCTATGAATGGGAATAACTTGAAATTTCGAAAAAAATCCATCTCTTCGTTTAACACCCTGTAGTATAATGCTATGTGCAAAATATCGTATTCTCAAAATTAGACATAAGAGTCAAAGAATCAGCTATTCAGAATTTTCAAAGATTTTCAAAATCGATTCAGTAATTTTCCAATAACGAGCTTTCAAATATTTTCCAAAAAACTAGGTGCGTCGTTTTTTATGACGAGCAGTTTAGTTTACCTTATCATTTGGAAATTCAGCGTCGGATAAGAAATTAAAAGATTGTAAGCACACAGTTTCAAACATGGGAGTCGAACAATATTCGCGAATTGATTCGCGTATCATATCCGTGCATAGCTCCAAAAAATTAAAACTTTCTACAAGACTCTACAAAAGAAAAATCATAATTTAATTTATAGTATCCTGATGTAGACTTAAGTCTTGGCCAATTGGCCAAGGTTCTTGTCAATTGACAATAATCTTGGACAAGTCTTGAGCAAGTCTTGGATTAGATGGACCAAAACAATTTCATTAGAAAGCTATATCCAGACTCTTCCAAGATTCTTGGGCAAGTATGGGGAAGTAGACTTGACCAAGACTGGTCCAAGATTGTACAAGAATATTGAGCAAAACTTGTTTTTATGGGAAGAGAAAAAACATCATACATACCAGTGCTGGTGCTCCATACGGTAGTAACCCAGTAATGACTTCATTGAACCTTAAAAACACCGAGGGTCCCATACTGATGGCCAGTTTAAATTTCTTGTTGTATTCTGGTTTGGCACTTGTCAACATGAAAAAGGCAGTTGTCCCTTGAGAATGACCAACGTAAAAAAGAGCTTTTTCTTTCGTTACATTTGAAATGTAATCGATGTTTGCTGGTAAGTCGATCAAACATATTTCGTCCAACCTGTAAGAAAAGCATTTAAAATCATCCAATTTTTTCCCAACCAAGTTTGGTGTACGATATTTTACATTTATTGGGATTTATTTGGACATATAAATTGTATTTTCAATAAGTTTGACCAAAAAAACTGCATGAAAATAAAGACTTAATTAGGTAAAGTTATTTTGGGCCAACTTCGTTTCTAATGAGGTTTGGTCGAAAATTGGCAAAGCGTTTGTAATGCAGTAAATTATAATGTCAAGACCTTCTCTACGAAAAGGCGTAAAAAAGTTCTTAAAAGTTATTACACGAGTAAAGAGTACGAGTACTTTTGAAAAAAAAAATGTTAGTTAATACCTATAATTGATTATTCTTTATACATCATACATACTTTGGCCCTGAGCTATAAAAATACAAAAACAAATTTATAAAATTATTTATTTTATACATTAGGTACAGGGTGATCCCCTATATAATGTCGCCCCCTTTAACTTTTTTAGTGTCCCAAAAATACACCTAACAAATGTAACGTTCAGTAACATTGTAGAAATATTATTTTTCCTAGTGGGATATATAGATATAGCTATAACTTACCGAAAGTTCCAAAACTGTCTATCATTATCTGGATTTAGATGAGTGTGATTTCTCGAGAAGAAGTTCCCTCTTGCATTCATTATCCAAACATCATAACCATGATCTGCGAGATAATATGGCAAGGATATTTTTCCCAGAGCCAGAAAGCTTTCCGATGTGGCGCCCATACCATGCCCGAGCAAAATCGGATTTTTGTTTGTGGTGTTGCTCTTTCTTCCATGTTTTATCCTATGCGTTCCCAAGATGTACCCATCAGGTGTGATGATTGTATGTACTTCCAAAGGATATCCGTATTTGTTCACAACGTCTTTCTGAAATATTAAGAAATTGGTATTTTATATATTTAGGGTAAAGTAGACAGTTATCGGACACTTTACCTTAAAGTTAAATCATTCGATGACGCTGTATACAATTATAATTATCTCAGTCGGTAATAATATAGAACTACTTTATTTTGGGTCCAATATAGGACAAAACAGTTCGCACGTTACTTTGGTGGTAAGATTTTTTTTGTTAAGAGCAGGGCTGTGTTTAAATTACAATAAAAAATATTTCTAAAAAACGTTCAGATCAGTATAGGGTATAAATGTGTCCCTCATGGTTTAAACATTGTCACTTTAATGCGTTTTAATTTTAATTCTGAAAACAAACAATAAAATGGCCAGTGTCCAATTACTGGTTGGTAAAAAATGTAAATTTCTATTATTGGACATATGTCCAATATCATACTCTATTTGTATCCAGGATATTTACCAGCCAATTCTTATGTAAAATTGTTCCCTGAATCCGAAAAGACCGTCAAAAACTATAAAAGTTAAGCAGTTTTTGAGATATAGTCAATTCCATATTATATGTAAAATTCATTATATTTCAAAAACTGTTCTACTTTTGATTCAGCGAATAATATTTCATAGGAATTGACTGCTAAATGTCCTGGATACAAATTGCTGTCGACGAGAATTATTAGTGGCTGCTATTTCGCTATGACATTTTTGACTAATTCATTTTTAGAAAGTAAGTAATATAGTGATTTCTTCGTCACAGGGCATATTGCAGAATAACAGTGATTTAAATACAGTGCACAATAGAGAACATAAAAAACTAATGGCAACAAAATTAATAAATTCGGAAAATACTTTTAACATACCACCCGAAAAAATATTAGATACGAGGTGTGTTCAGAAAATATCGGAAAATTTCGTTTTTTGAAACAAATATTTATTTATTCGTCTACATTAATGTTGTCGCCTTCAAAATAGTCCCCAATGGAAATTATGCACATGTGCCAGCTCTTCTTCCAATACTCAAAACACTTCTAAAACTCGATCTTTGGGATAACCTTTAGTTCTTTCAGCGATGCGCTTTTAATCTCATCTATGCTTGCAAAACGACGGCCCTTTAAGGTTCTTTTTATTTTTGGGAATAGGAAAAAGTCAGACAGAGGCATGTCTGGCGAATATGGAGGCTGGGCAGTGTTGTAACAGTTACAATATTTTCAGTATCTAGCTACAGTTACAGTTACTTACCAAAATTTGTAACTAGATACAGATACAGATACATATTTTATTGCAGTAACTAGTTACAGATACAGTTACCTTCAAAAAGTATCTAGATACTTTAAGATACATACAAATTATTTTTTGCTTTAAAAAAATTAAAATAGAAATAAAAGGGAATTTTATAGTGACAACAAAAATATGTTTATTATTTTTATTTTTTTATAGATAATATTTAATTTAAAATAACTTATTTTTTATAATATTTTTTTTTAAATAAATAATAGTCGCAATTTAATTAAAAATGTATCTTTGTATCTTAGCACACCTAGTTACTTAGAATTTGTAACTAGTTACAGTTATAGTTACTAGATTGGGATAAGTAACTAGTTACACAAACAGATACATAAAAAGTATCTAGATACTGTATCTAGTTACTTGTAACTAGATACGTTACAACACTGAGGCTGGGGCATCATTACAGTATTGTTTTTGGCCAAAAATTTTGTTCAAAATTTAACAATTTTAGAACAAATTTTTCTGCTACGCGTTTCATACCCAAAACATTCGAAAAAATTTCATGGGATGAGCCAATCGATATACCAACATTATCAGCGACTTCTCTGATGGTCTATAACCATTTCTTCCACTTTTTCCATGTTTTTATCAGTTGTTAATGTGCTTGTGCGTTCGGGGCGTTTGTCATCTTCAACGTCTTCACTGCCATCTTGGAAACTCTTATACCACTTGTAAACTCTTGTTTTACTTATAGCAGACTCACTATAGGCCTTTGTTAACATTTCACAGAATTTATTTCATTTTTTAAGCAACATTGGATTCAAATTCTTTGATCCATTTCTTTTAACGAACGAAAAATCGCCGAACTCATAAAACAGCTTAAGTTTTTATCATACTTCGGGGGCATGTATACGAACATATGTAATAAAGAAAATTTTATGACAACCGGACCCTCCGAACCCGCGAAATTTAACAATTCCCGTTATTTTCTGAACACACATAATACACGAACAATAACAAACTAGAGATAGGTACCACACTTATTGATATTTCAACAAACTATTTCAGAAGTCAGACCAAGGAATTAGTAGTTATCTTCTGAATCCAGAAAAAAATTACCTAAAACAGCAATTTATCTTTAAAAAATATTTAACAATGTATGTTATTTGATGTAAAGTTGTTAAGTTTATATAAAAATTGTATGTCCAATAACTATGGTCCATGTGTCCAATTACTATATAAAATGTCCAATTACTATACTTTTTTGCATGTTTTTATAAAACTATTATTAAAAATTCAAATATTCTTATTTTAAAGTAAACGTTAATAAAGTTTAAACAAACAAACTACCCTTTTTATATATTTATAAGAAAAAAACTAAAATCTTTAAAACAACGGCATTTATAAATTTCAAATAAATAATAGTGTCCAAGTGTCCAATAACTATGTGGTTTGCCCTATATATTTAATTTTAAAAAAATTACCAGAGGTAGTTTTGCATCTTCCAAATAGAATGAAGTGGCCTGTGCGTATAAAACGCATAAAACAAACACTAATAGGGATAACATTTTTGGAACACATCTGGCCTAATGTTTTAATTCTATTATTTATATAAAACATTATTAATATAGACCGGATTTGTAAGCAATTAAAAAACAAACTTCATCCTATAATTTTGACACATTGTAGGTTTAAAACAACACATAAAATTTTATGATAAACTACGACAATAATAACTAAAAAACACTGTAATTAAACTAATTATTTGAAAACAATACTGACAATCCGGTCTCTCAAAATTAAGAATTAAATTCATTAATTTTTTCACTTGCACTATAACAATAAAAATAATATTTTTCTATTATTTACGGCCAAGCCAGACATAACAAGAGAACTAAATTTTTTGTGCATTTTATACAATTTAATAAATAATAATATCATTTAGACAAATTTGTCATCGACACCATTAAATTTTATAAAATATTGCTATAAAAAATTAATCAAAAAACTTATTTCCTTGGCATTTTTGGCTAAATGGCTTTTTAATTATTATCACGCAGGGCCGTACTAAGAAAATATGGCGCCCGGGCGAAAACAAAAAATATGATATACATTACACAGTTAATTTTTAAAAGAAATTTATTTATATACAAATTAAAAACATTAACCAATAACATAATATTTACTTTTCAAGCCTTCAATGGTTACCAAAAATGAGAAAATAAAATCCTATAAAACAAAAAATATCGCAAATCGCGTGGCGTAATATGTGAACGGCCCCTAATTAAATAAAATAAATCAGTTAATACAAACATTTCATTTTTTTTTAATTTGGACTATTTTTTTTATTAAGTTGGTAGCTTATGCTAGTTAAATTTAGAATTTTTAGTATTTAAAAAATGGTACTTCTGCTGAAGACCTTAATTAAATAATCTGACACAGTCAAATTGACCGTAATATTTATTATTGACTATTTCCCTCGTCTTAATTTCCACCAATCACAAACGCGCAATTTTGAATTACAAATGGTTTCTAGGTGAAAAAACTGTGTGACAGCACCTGTCAGCAGTTTTTTCGAGTTTACCCGCGGCAAAACTTGACAGCTGTTGTCACCATAAATTTCAATTTATATTTTAATTGTTAACTGTTACTCATGAAATAGTCTTGTCAAATACCATTCGGGCATCTAATTTTTCCTGTGAAAAAAACCGAAAAAACACAATGCTAAGTAATATTTTTTAACAAAATGCATTCGTGCAGGTGCAAAAAACCTCCTCTTCGACTCGTATTTTTGTTGCCACCAGCACTCATGCGTTTTGTTAAAATATTACTTAGCAACGTGTTTTTTCGATTTTTTTCGGAAAAATTAGATGCCCTTATGATATTACTTACGATAATTTACTTGGTAATTATTAAAAAGATAACTATGCCAAAAATAATAAAATTATATTATTTATCTTAAGATTCTAAAGTAAAAGAAATTTTAAGAACAAAACTTCATTTCGATTAAGTTATGCCAAATACCTCAATGACAAAAAAATTACATCGCCTTATGTACATTTTTGAAAAATCTAGTAGTGAATTTTCCAGTCTTTCAAAATAGCATCTATTTGTTTGAAAAAGATAAGCAATAATCACGAAACTTTTTCTTCTTTCAATTTGCAAGTTACTGATCATAAATAGTCCTGGACAATATATACTATAGTAGGGTGGGTCAAAAATAACTTTTAATTCTTTTTTTCTTTAGTTACCATGAAAATATCGTCCAAGATGACGAAAAAAATCGCAATTTTTTATTTTCCATTTAAATAACACGGGAAAAAACAATTTTTTGTTTGTAATTTTATTGCGTTTTAACGAATCAGTGAGTTGTAGAGTCCAATACAAATTCTTGTAGGGAATTGAACGATCTACAAAAAAGATTTGATATGATTTTTTGCGTAATCGACTCGTTTAAAAGTTATTTGAGGTTAAAGTTCAACCTCAAATAGTAAATGAGGACTTTTATAGTTTTTCATCTTCTATTACGAAATATTGGCTCAAAAACATGAAATATCATATTTTTCGTGAAGTTTATCGAGTGTTCTTCGTTTTACAGATTAAATAAATACAATTTTCACGAAATACTAATCGTGAAAAAACCGTTTTTTTCCTATATTTAATTTTTTTTATTCGAAATTTTTTCTTTACCTAAGTAATGACAAAGAAATAGGTAATCCGCCATCTTGGGGTATAAAAAAAAATTTCTTTAATATTGCAAAATTTGAATATGATGAACATAAAATCTGAAAAATAAAATATGCGATTAATGTTAAACTTACTGGGTATGTGAGACCCAATATTAAACTACGTGGGTCTCCCAGACCCGATCAGGTCGAATTTAAAGGTTGAGTTAAAATTTACTTTCCCACTCTTTCTTTCTTAAATTTAATTTCACTCTCTATATATAGGCTAGTGGATTTTGGGTATACCAATATTTCAGTTATTAGACATGGGACCCACACCAAATTTATAATAGTTTATAATGACATTAAATAGACAAGTTCGGCGCAAACAGAATTTAAATTTAAGTTTGCGAAAAAAAGTTAGATTTTCCTGTTGCCTCACCCGCCTCCAGGCCCCCCTATTTCAGATAATTCAAATTAACGTGGTGCAATTTATTATCTACTATAATTTATCGACAAATTTAAAATTTTATTTAAAAAATCCAAATATTACAGGTTTTATACCATTTTAAATATTTTTTTATTTATTATTATTACTTGGGGTATAGATGGCGTAGACAATTTAATAAAAAATAATAGTCCATTGGTAAATTAAATAGATAAGTAAATAATGCGGTTATTAATATAAATAATGGATATTCAGGAATTTCAAACTATCAAATAACAAAATTAAGTAATTAAAGTATATTAAAAATAACATAATTATAAGAAATGTAGGTTGTGTACCTAGGTATACCTACATGAAACAGTAATGATTAAGTAAATAGTTTAATAAATAATACAAATGGAAAACAACGTCAACTTGTCTCTAACATTTTTACGTTATTTGGGCCTATTCCCATATAATTTTAAAAACTCAAAATTTGTGCTGAGTAAAAAGCATTTAATTTTTTCGATTGTCTTAATATTTTCTTGTATTTTACTGGTATTTTTAACTTTTGCAGAATGCGTACCGTATTGGGATATTATAATAATGATAAGAATACTCCCAATGTATGGATTGTATTTTGTTATACACATTGACGCGTTTTATCGCAATAAATATTTGATATCGGCCGTTGAAAAGTCTTACAAGCAGAATAAGAAGTATAAGATATCTATAGGCAAAAGAGGTTTTGTAAAATATTACGCCGTAATAAAATTTACCATTCTAGCATTTTATGTCAACCAAGACTTAATCAATGTGGTTTTAAAATTGAACTATAACAACTTAAAGTGTATATTTACATATTATATGTCCTCGATTCTTCATAATTTTCAAGAAGTTGCCTATGTTTGTGTGCTTAGCGACATAGCCAATTCTACAAGTTTTCTGGCAATAAAAATTAAACCTTCAAATATTAAAATCAGCTTAAAAATCTATCAGCAAACAAAGGATATTTTTCAAGATTTAAACCGTTACATAAGATTTTCCATGATCTATGCATTTATCAATAATTGTTCTTCTGTTGTTTTAAGTTTTTATTTAATTCTTTTAAATCCAACATCAGCGAAGGAACATTTTAGAATTTTAGAAAGTCTTTTCTGGATATTTTTGAGCGTTTTGGATTTGGTGCTTGTATTTTATTTCGTAGATGTTATTTACAAGGAGGTAAGATTTAGATCATGTAAAATAAATCATTAGTATTTACAGGCGAAAACTTATTGGATTCTTTTATTTTAGTTTCAAACAACAGGCTACAGTTTACAGGAATGTTTAGAAGATTCAAAGTGTATACCACATGCGAATATGTATAAAGAAGTAAATAATAATGTTTTAATTATAGGGCTAAATTTTAAATATTTTTTTTAGGAAGAATTGTTTTTCTTTAAAAACTATTTGAATCCGCCTTTATTCCGATTGCTAGGCGTTTTTATTGTTGACTGGGAGCTTATTTCAAAGGTAAATCCATAAAAACCTACTTGTTTTCAGTATACAAAAAATATTTGTATTATTACTTTTTAGACGGTATCGGGAGTTGTGGGGTATTTAATAATATTAACTCAGTTTAAAATGGATAACTAGATACCCTAACAATGTATACCTACGTAGGTATATCGAAACAGGTTAATTTTTTTATTCTTTTATATTGGCCATTGACACTGTAAATATTTTATTGATGCATTGTTTTACTAAATTAAAGTATATTTAAGTAAGAAGTTTTTTAATTTTTAAAACGAAAAAGAACAATAAATAGAATTTGACTATTTTTGTTCATGTTTTCAGTCTTTTAAATGGGGTAGGTATCACCTGTCGTTTTACAAAAACAAAGTTTTTTAAGCATTGTTTAAATAATTTATTTTAGGTGGGCGCCATAAATTTTATAGCAATAAAATACCTGAAATTTGTATTTGGTAATCTCACATTAATAGGGCTGTATATACTTAGTTTGTTAACGAGATAATACACAATTATATTAATAATAATTATAATTATAATGAAAAAATATTTAAAATTGTATAAAACCTGTAATATTTGGATTTTTTAAATAAAATTTTAAATTTGTCGATAAATTATAGTAGATAATAAATTGCACCACTTTAATTTAAATTATCTCAAATAGGGGGCCTGGAGGCGGGTGAGGCAACAGGAAAAACTAACTTTTTTTCGCAAACTTCAATTTAAATTCTGTTTGCGCTGAACTTGTTTATTTAATGTCATTATAAACTATTATAAATTTGGTGTGTCTAATAACTGAGATATTGGTATACGGGGCAAAATTTGCCAAGTGTGCCAGGTGAAAAAATTTTTGTCACCGATTTTGTTTAAACTTTACTTATTTGTTGTTCTTATAACGAAGAATCATAGCATAAAATTTTTTTGCTCTAGGATTGTTCATTCAAGAGTTATGGATTATTGAAATTTATCGATTTATT